TCCTTTGTCAAAGATAAGTTGGTTGTTGATGTGTGGATTAGGCAATAAATTCATGTTTACTGTGGTCTTTGTTTCTTTTTTTAAATCTAGGTCACGGTTTCTCACTTTTCAACTAAAACTTGAAGGTTTAGAGGCCCTGTCCATTTTCACTCTTATGTGTTCCTGTAACACACGATTCATTGGAGTTACTTGCTTGTTTGCCTTTGTATAATGTAGTAGGCCTTCATTAAACAGTTGCTGCATCAAGGTGATCTTGAGTGACTGGGGAGACAACAGAGAGATCAATTTGAACTTTGAAGAAAAAGAAGAACATTCAAAACAAGGGTTATAGTTTGAGCAAAGATAAAGAAGTAAATTTAAGATCAGTGTGTAAACCAATTGGCTCTAGTAAGAGTGCTTTGGGACCTATAGTTGAGGTTAGATTATAGATGGCTTAAATATTAGACCCAGTAGTTTATAAACAATATACATATAGTATATCTGTAAACATTAGGGAATGAGTAAGTAAGGAATTTGGAAGGATTTTTGACTAGAAACCCATATGGCAAGCCCTGTTTTTGTAATGTTAATCTGACAAGTGTACATGATCAGCTAAAAGGAAGAGGGAATGGTGAAAACTAGATCAATTGGGAAGCTTTTTAATTTACGGGCAAGGTAGTGAGGATTTTCACTGTGGTGACTATGGGAATAGAAAGTCAGAGATGCTCAGAAACCATTGAAGGAAGGAGTGATAAAACATAACTATATAAATGTTCTACATTACCAGAGAAACAATGAAAGAAATCACACTGTATCAAAATGCAAAAGTAGGAAAAAGATTTACAGTTCATAAAATAGGAAAAGAGCTAATTTCATAAATATATAAGGAACACTAACAATTAAGTGAGAAAAAAGATCAACAACTGGATAGAAAAATGGACAAAGATATGAAGAATATGAATAGTTTATAATAAGAGAAATACAAAGTAAAAGTTCAGTGAGAAGGGCTGGTGTTGTGGTACAGCAGGTTAAGTCACTGCTTACAATGCTGGCGTCTATCCCTCCTCCTCCTCCCTCTCCTCCTCCTCCTCCCCTTGACCCCCCACCCCCACCCCGTGAGAGGGAGAGACAGAGAGAGAGGTCTTCCATCTGCTAGTTCACTCCCAAAATGGCCACAATAGTTGGAGCTGGGGTGATCAGAAGCCAGGAGCTAGGAAATTCCTCTGGGTCTCTCACATGGGTGCAGGAGTTCAAGACTTAAGCCATCTTCTGCTTCTTTCCCAGGTCATAGCAGAGAGCTGAATATGAAGAGGAGCAGCAAGGACACAAAGTGGTACCCATATGAGATGCCGGCACTGCAGGCAGAGGCTTAGCCTACTAATGCCACAGTGCCGATCCTGCTGCTTCACTTCTGATAGGTCCTTGCCAATTTACCTGGGAAGGCAGAAGATGGCCCAATGGCTTGGGCTCCTACCACCCACATGGGAGGCCCAGAAGGAGTTCTGAGCCCCTGGCTTCAGTCTGGCCCACCACTGGGGCCATTTAGGGAGTGAATCAGTGGATGGAAGATTTGTTTGTCCCTCTCTCTCTGTGTCATTCTGTCTGTCAAATAAATCTATTTTGTAAAACAAACAAACAAAAAACTAACTTTCTCTTTGTAACTGTTTTCTAACCTAATTTGTAAGAGAACAAATTTTGAAAACACAAATTGTTGTTTAAGATATAGGGAATGAAGCAGTCTATCTTTCCTAACGAGCGTATGGGTTTGTGCTATATGGAGACCAATTTGGGTACAGTTATCAAAACTTAAAAATATCTGTATCATTTGACTCTTATACTAGAATGTATCCCATAGCCCTTGTACTTGTGTGCAATAAATATTCTTGGCAGCAGTTGGAAACAACTTAAATGGTCATCCTTAGTGGACTGAATCAATGCATTATAGTGCCTGTAGTAGAATATGTAGCAGTTGTTATTGAGACAGTCTTGGCATTGTGGTGCAGAGGGTTAAGATGTCACCAGAATGTGGCTTTGAGTCCTGGCTGCTGCACTTCTGATCCAGCTTTTTGCCAAAACACCTGGGAAAGCAGCAGATGATGGCCCAAGTACTTGGGTCCCTGCACCTGTGTGGAGACCTTGACTGGAATTTCTGGCTTCTGGCTTTGGTTGGCCTGGCCCAGCCCTGACTGTTGCAGGCATTTGAGGAGTGAACCAGCATATAGAAGATCTCTCTCACACTCTGCTATCTGAATAATATTTAGATAAATTTTAAAAAATAATCAGGCAGTTATGCTATATGTTGAAATGGAATAATCTTTAAGATATATTATTAACTTAGAACAGTATGAGTGCAGAGCAAGGGTATTGTAGGTTATTATGTTAGGATCTATATTCTCTTGTTTAAGCATAGTATATCTTTGGAGGGAATTATAAGAAAATGAGAAATGCCCCTGGGGATTGGAACTTGGTAGCTGGAGAAGAGGAATGGGAATTTTCCATTGTATACCTTTTTTTAAAATAAAAAATAAAATCAAGGAAGAAATCAATTCAGAATGTATTTCTGTATTTTATATAACCAACACTGAATAATTAGAGAATAGAAAAATTAATTTAAAAAAACCCCTGTGGTTTATATATATGATAAGTGGTTAATATCAAGGGTATATAAAACCTCTTGTATCTCCAACAACATAAAAACAAACAACTCTATCAAAAAATAGGTAAAGGGTTTGGGCAGATATTTCTGGAATGAGGATACACATTTTCTGGAATGAGGATGCACACTTCATGTGTCAGTGAGCACATGAAAAACTCTACACTGCTAATCTCCAGGGAAAGGATATGAAAACCTCCTTGAGATTCTGCTTCATGCCCTGGAGGATGACTGCCATGGGACTGCTGGAAGCTTCTGAGGGCAGAGCTGACCAACCAGGCAGAGCTTTCTTTTTGTGTTTCTCTTTGTCCTTTTTTCTCCTTCTCTCTCTCTCTCTCTCTCTCCCCCCTCTCCCACTCTCTCCCACTCTCTCCCTCTCTCTGTGTGTGTATGTGTGTGTGTGAGGGAGAGAGTGAGAATGTTCTAAGTGTATATGTACTCAGTGTGTATGCACTCTTGGTGTGTACAAACATGATTTTTGTAGATCTCTTTGCTCTTGTAGCTTTCTATCTCTTCTACAATGAGAGATAAGTTTGGGGTTTTTGTTTTTTCTCTACTTGAGTTGGTCTAGCTCCTTTTTTTGTTTGGAGTATGTATTAGTCTGTTTTTCATTACCTTAACTAAAATATCTGAAGTGAGCTTCTTTGGGAAAGAAAAGGTTTGTTTCAGGTTACAATCTAGAGATTATGGTTTATGATAGGGCGGCCCCATCTGTGGAGGCTGGTCTTGACAGGTGCAGAGGCATAGTCAGGTGGTGAGCTGGGAAGGAGAGAGGGAGAGAACCCAGCCAAACTTGAACTCAGAATAATCAAACTCTTGCAAGAGGGGCATGCCCCCAGTGGTCCTGAGAACTCCCACCAGACCCACCTCTCAGATGTCATCATTAACTAAGTCTCCACCTTTAAGACATCAGAGTTTAAGACATCTGCATGAGTTCTGGGGAGACAAGTCCTGCCCAGCTCCATAGTAGGGTGCTAATCACTCTCGAGGAAGCCTTTAACCCTCTTGTTTTGTGTCTTGCCAGTTGGATTCTGCCTGTTTCATTCTTAGGATAGCCAGTTACATTCCTTTCCCCACAAAAACTCCAGCCAACATCCAGTATTTGATGTGTGTTAAATGTGAACCTCTCTGCCCCAACTGCTTTTCTTTCATTTTATCTTATTTTTAAGGCTTTTTAAACAAAGATTTATTTATTTATTTGAAAGGCAGAGTTACAGAGAGAGAGGAGAAGAGGGAGGGAGTAAGGGAGGGAGGGAGTTAGTTCAATCCCCAAATGGCTGCAATGGCCAGAGTTGGGCAGGAGCTTCCTCTGGCTTCATAGTATGCATTTTTCCATGAACTGTTTAAAGACCTCTTGTATGCATCTGTGTAATAATTTTTTGTATCAAAACAAACAGCTTTTAATTCCATTTTCCATGGACTTTTTGAAGTCCCTTTGTACTCATCCTCTGTTCCAGAGTCCATCTTAGATTCTCTACATCCACACAGCAGAATATATTGGGTACTCCAAAATCTATAGACATTTTATTTCAAAACTTTTCCCGAAATAAATCTTCACATATAAGTTCATCGAGCCTTATTGATTTTCTCTGTGACAGGTGAGGTTTCTAATTTAGTTTCTTTGCCATTGTTTTACTGTTTTGTCTCTTCATGCTGTAACCTTGCTCTTTGCTTTTTTGCATTAAAGAAATATGAACTGAATTCACAGAGTTGATAGGAACCGTACTCAATTTTAAGGATAGAGTTTGTCCTTCAGCTGAGTGTTAGATTGCTTTGTTTGTTTCCTTGATCTCTTTTTCTTTCCAGTTCTCAGATATTGATGTTAACAGATATATACATGCACATCATTTACTAAAGGGGAGTGGGATGGATTCTGAGTTTATCTTGCTTATTTGTCTTTCTTGCCAGGAAAGTTACAGAAAAAGGAAGTCTGAAGAAAAGTATTTTCTGTTCAACTTCTACTGGAAATACTTAAAATGTTTAAATATGAAAGAAAGATAAAATTTCAAAAAATGCTATTTGATTATGGGACAAAAAATCTTAAAAATTATTCATTTGAGAGAAAGAGCAGGGGAGGGACGAAGGGAGAGAGAGAGAGAGAATCACATTCACTGGTTAATTCCCCAGATGTCCAGGAGTTAGGAACCTGTCCCAACCCACATCTTGACCACTGTGCTTGCACACTTGCTCCATGGAATAAAAAAATTTTAAGGGTGATCGCTGTGAGTGTCTCGGGGAGTCTGGCCAGCAGACTCAACCCAGGGCCCGCGACAACGGTTTCTCGGGCGAGAAAAGAACGAACGGCACTTATCGGTCTTCAGTATACTTTTTATTAGAGAAAGTAGACGTAACAGAGGTGGAAAGGAGAGGAGAGAGAGCTTCCTCCTTACACCCGCGGCTTATATACAAAATGTGACCAATCAGGAGCAAGCTAGAGTCCATGCATCAGGCACACCAATCCGGTCTCTGTTCACGTGAAGGGCACGCGTCCTTCGACCAATCAGGTGAGGTGTCACGCAGCAGGCAGGCAGGCAGGCAGACTCACTGTGGGGGTCCTGGCGCCATCTTGTTGTTTACCGCGACCTCGATCCCTCCGCCTCCGGAAAGCCCCGCCCATTGGAAAGTCCCTGGTCAAAACCGAAAGTAAAAACCTCCGCCTAGCAATGCCACCGCGGACTATTCCCCGACAGGTGATGGCTTATCTGCAATATTCTTCTGTCATGGAGAAAGTTTCATGTCTTATTAGCATGATTTATGTCTTTTGATTTTAACAAATATATGATTGGATGTGAAGATATGAAGTAGATACATTTGCTCTCATGTAAAATCTTATGGGAATTTCATAGACTACCTGGTTTTTATCTTTTTTTTTTTTAAATATTGTTGACTGGAGGGTCTAGTTGGCTAGAAAACTGCTGTTAATTACCTTGAGGTTAGCATTTTGTTCTTGAAAGTTTACTTCTTTATTTCACTTGAAAGCCATAGTGAGAGAGGAAGAGACACAGACATCTTCCATTTGCTGGTTTACTTCCCAGATGGCCACAACAACCAGGGCTGGGCCAAGCTGAAGCCGGGAGCCAGGAACTCTGAGGTTCCCACAGCGGTGGCCTAGGCCCAGGCACTTGAGTCATCATCCACTGCTTCTCAGGAAGCTGGATTGTAAGCAGAGGAATTGGAACTCTGGTATGGAATGCTAGCATCCCAAGGGGTAGCTTAATCCTTTGAGCCACAACGCTGCCCCACTCATGTAAATCAATAGTAAGCTTTTTGGCTTCCAGAAAGGGTACATCCTATCTCGTTTGTTTGTTTTTGTAATTAAGCAAAGTCATATGAGTAATTTAAGTGGGAGTTTGTTAATACATGTAGGTCCTACCAGTTGAAGAAGATGACTGGGATCAGGTGGTCATGGTTACACCAGCTTTGTATTCGAAAACTTGGACATGTTAATACAGCTCTGAATATTTAATAGGTAATATAACTACTGCAGAAAAAGTAGTAGTTTAAACTTAATTGCAGTTTGAGTTGAAAAATGTGGTTGATTTTAAGGTACTTTGTTCTGTATTTACTGAAAATATTACACGTGAAAATTATGCTTTAAATACTATAAACTGTTTTTCTAGTATTAACTAAACAGTTGTGGAAAATGTTACACTTTTGAAAGGTCACGCTGATTTTCTGGCATTTCCATTTTATATTTTATACATGCATTTGAATTGGTTTAGCTCAGAGTTGTGTGTTTAAAGATCCAGGTAACGAATGTGGAAGGTAAATTGTAAAAGGGCACAGTCTTTTAGAATGCACGTTATCTCTCAGTTTTCTTTGGTTTCAACCGTGAATTTCTGAATTCTGAGGCAATTGGGAGGGCTGAAAGGACAGCAGGATAAAAAGGCTTTTAGTGCTCCTAGGTCTGTTTTTCTTTTAATTGATGTTACATATGGACATAGTACTTTTCTTCTCTTTCTATCCCTTCTCCAGACAAATGAGATCTCAGCATTTACCTTCTACATAGTGGATTAAGCTGTCCATTCCACATTTTTTTTTTTTTTCAAATAGGTTGCATCTGAATGCTACAGGAGGAGTTATGAAATGAGTAACTCATTCTGTCCTGAGTTTATTGGGAGCAGTGTCTGTATGCTGGGAGTGGCGAATAACAGGGAGGCAGCATGGTGTGGTGGTTAAATACACAGGCCATAGGCTGGAACAATCTGGATTCAGCTCTGCTGTTTATTTTTTTTATTTTTTGACAGGCAGAGTTGGACAGTGAGAGAGAGACAGAGAGAAAGGTCTTCCTTCCATTGGTTCACCCCCCAGATGGCCGCCACGGCTGGTGTGCTGTGCCGATCCGAAGCCAGGAGCCAGGTGCTTCCTCCTGGTCTCCCATGCGAGTTCAGGGCCCAGGGACTTGGGCCATCCTCCACTGCACTCCCGGGCCACAGCAGAGAGCTACACTGGAAGCGGAGCAACCGGGACAGAATCCGGTGCCCCAACTGGGACTAGAACCTGGGGTGTTGGCACCGCAGGCAGAGGATTAGCCTAGTGAGCCGTGGCGCCAGCTCAGCTCTGCTGTTTATTAAATTTGTGTGAGCCGGCGCCACGGCTCACTAGGCTAATCCTCCGCCTAGCGGCGCCGGCACACCGGGTTCTAGTCCCGGTCGGGGCGCCGGATTCTGTCCTGGTTGCCCCTCTTCCAGGCCAGCTCTCTGCTGTGGCCCGGGAGTGCAGTGGAGGATGGCCCAAGTGGTTGGGCCTTGCACCCCACGGGAGACCAGGAGAAGCACCTGGCTCCTGGGGTCGGATCAGCGCGGTGCGCCGGCCGCAGCACGCCAGCTGCGGCGGCCATTGGAGGGTGAACCAACGGCAGAGGAAGACCTTTCTTTCTCTCTCTCACTGTCCACTCTGCCTGTCAAAAAAAAGAAAAAAAATTTTGTGTGAAATGGAGGAAGAATGCTTAAACACGCTGAGCATGTGCTTATATCTTTTACAATGGGGATTGAAGACAGGGTAAATAGAAGTATTAAATGAGGTAACTAGAGTAATAAAGTGTTAATATTTTATTCTCTTTAATACAGTTCTGAAATGTTTTGGACAACAAAGAAATTCTTCCTAGACTGAAATGTTTATCTCATTGGTTTCACAATAAAACTTTAAGTTTTCTTTTTTTTTTTTTTTTTTTTTTTTTTGACAGGGTAGACAGTGAGAGAGAGAGACAGAGAGAAAGGTCTTCCTTTGCCGTTGGTTCACCCTCCAGTGGCCGCCGCGGCCGGCGCTCTGCGGCCAGTGCACTGCGCTGATCCGAAGCCAGGAGCCAGGTACTTATCCTGGTCTCCCATGGGGTGCAGAGCCCAAGGACTTGGGCCATCCTCCACTGCACTCTCTGGCCACAGCAGAGAGCTGGCCTGGAAGAGGGGCAACCGGGACAGAATCCGGCGCCCCGACTGGTGTGCCGGCGTGCTGCAAGGCGGAGGATTAGCCTAGTGAGTCGTGGCGCCGGCCCAAAACTTTAAGTTTTCTTTTCCCAATTTATGCTTCAGAGTTTGCAGATTTAATCATAGTTGTGGGAGAGTAATTCTCACTGATTTTTTTTAAAGATTTATTTTTTTCATTTATTTGAAAGACAGAATTACAGAGAGAGGTATATATATATAGAGAGAAGGGTCTTCCATCTGCTGTTTACTCCCCAAATGGCCACAATGGCCAGAGCTGGGCCGACCTGAAATCAGGAACCAAGAGCTTCTTCCAGGTCTTGGGCTATCTTCTACCGCTTTTCCAGGCCATAGCAGAGAGCTGGATTGGAAGTGGAGTAGCCGGGACTCGAACCATGGCCCATATGGGATGCCAGCACTGCAGGTGGTGGCTTTACCTGCTACACCACAATGGCGGCCCCCTGACTGATTTTGTGATAGAATAATTATCTTTATTTAAGAAGATAAAAGAAAACTTCACTGTACCATTAGTCAACAGTTGTGACTATTTATACTGATTACTCTTGAAATCAACAGCCAAAATGCAGCAAAATGTTGATGTCATTTTGGCTGAGGGAAAAATAATCTTTTAAATATTTCTTGGAGTGTTTTTTTATGTACATCTCACTTACAAACCTGACTTTTCATTTGCAATTTTAGTATGCCTGCTTTTGTTTGATATGAAGAGGTTAAATTGCCACTTTTCCTTATTTATCTATTCTATCTAAGATTTTTACTTATTTTATTTTCAAGGCAGAAACAGAGAGATCTTCCCTCAGCTGGCTCACTCCCTAAATGCCTTCAACAGCTGTGGCCAGGAGCATGCAACTCAATCCATATCCCCTGTGTGGGTGGCAGGGATCTAGTTACTTCAGCCATCATCCACTGCCTCTCAGAGTGTGCATTAAGAAGAAGCTGGATCAAGGTGGAGTAGCCAGGTTCAGGCAGTCCCAAGCTGTGCCAAATGCCCACCTTGCAACTTTTCTTTTGAATTAACTGGATAGCAAATTACTTGGCTAGGGAAAGGTATTTGGGTGATACGCGTAGTCCTCTTGCAGAGCAAGGCTACATTAGGTTCTGAAAAACTTCATTATTCAAAATTGATAGATATTAATTTAAATTGCGTCAAATTTCTATATGGCTCATATATTTTTATCTATCTCATATATTCACTAAAACCTATCAAAATTGTTACTGGGTTTTCTTTCTAAGTCATTTACCCTAACAGCCATCATGACACTAATGTCATTTGATGTTGAGACAATAAAAATAAGTTTCTTACAAAATGGGAGAGATCAGGGGATTGTTCTCAGGGCTACTGAGCTGTTGATGAGATGAAAACAACCCTTTTGGTGGGCAATGTGAATATCATTTAGTTTTATTTATTATTATTGGTGCTTATTTGCAAAAGGAATCGTACTTTGCTGCTGAAAGCAAGAATGATATTAGAAGCTTCCTCAAGTGTGTGTCTTTCCCACACTGCCCAGTCAGCTACTCGACATGTGTTTAGAACAAGCACAGGGGTGTGAAGTAAAGGTCAGAGAAGAAATTTATCAGTGTCATCATTAGAAGTGATATAATTTTGTGAGCGTGTTGACTATGCAGCAGAAGTCAGATACATTCTTGCATGGGGGCGCAGTGATGGTGATGATGGCACACACTTAAGGAGAGAGTTATTTTTAGTAAGGAGAAGGAAGGGCTGCTCTGGTATGAAAGGGGAGGACCTGAGGTTAGATTGATGGAGTCATAGACAGTTGGAATGAAGAACCTTAGAGACAGTGCATTCAGATATATGAAGTGAATTGCCTACTGTAGGTATAGCTAGCACTTGAATCCGGATTTTGTTTTCTTACTTGGGCCTGAATGGGAGAAGGAGAAAAGGGTGAGCCCAGAACGGGATGAGCACTTGGTTCTTTGGGGGTGATGCATGCATGGAGGTGGGTACTGTCACACGGACTGCATGCCTTTCAGTACAGCCTGATTTGGGGTTCTCCTGTTCTCCCTTGCAGATATTGAAAGGTATGGAGTTACCTAGCGGCGCTGGCACACCGGGTTCTAATCCTGGTTGGGTGCCGGATTCTTTCCCGGTTGCCCCTCTTCCAGGCCAGCTCTCTGCTGTGGCCCGAGAAGGCAGTGGAGGATGGCCCAAGTCCTTGGGCCCTGCACCCCATGGGAGACCAGGAGAAGCACCTGGCTCCTGCCTTCGGATCAGCGCGGTGCGCTGGCCG